TTAAAAACAATTAGTTCATTCTTGAGTTGTTTACAGAGACTTTAAAGAAGAAATGTCATTTGAGGGCCTCCCTGGTGGCACAGGCGGTTGAGCACAGCACTGTGAAGCTGTCTGCAGCCTCTGCAGTGCCGGTTCGATCCCCACTGCAGTGCTGGTTCGATCCCTGCTGGCCAGGGAGATACCCACATGGTCGGGCAGACCTCTCCTGTCTCGCCTGCTGCTCCCCTCAGCAGTGTATTTCAGTCTGTCCGTCTGTTCTCTTCCCCACTCTGTCTCGGGTGAGAGGATCTTAAATCTCACAATCTGATCTTAAATCTTTTTAAAGATTTAAAAGTAAATCTTTAAAATAAATAAAAAGAAATGTCATTTGAGTTGGGTCTCAGTTCACTACATTGAGATACACATTATGGTAAAGTATAGTAAAAGCACTTAAATGCAGAAGGAACATTTTAAAAAAGCGTGGAAGTTTTTGCGAATTTAATGCAGTCAGGAATGACTCAGTTTTACATGGAGAGAGCACAATATAGATATATTGAAAGGCTTTATCAATTCCTTAAAATTTATTCACAAGTACATTCATTTATCCAGTCAGAAGCATTTTTGAGAACCTCTTCTATACAAGGTTCTAGTTGGGTCCTACAGAGGCAGAGATGAACAATGTAAGCTCCTTTTCCTCAAGGAGAGTTCAACCTAATGGTAAAAAAAAAAAAAAAGGCATATAGAGTGAAATAGAGGTTATAATTAGAAAGTCTATATAATATGACTATAAACATGTTGAATGTGTACGTGTGTGCACGTGTGTGTGCATGCTCACTTACCTCGATGGGCAGGCATGCCGAATCTCAGGGTGTGAGTTACAGAACTCCCTCAGACTTGTGCATGTGCTATTGTCATTGGGATAAACAAGATGCTTGTGCCAAGAACTAGATCAGCTTTTAGTCACTGCGTCCTGAAAGCATACAATTCAGCTTTTTTTTTTTTTAATTCCTCCTGCACCTCTGACAGGTTTCTGGAGTTATGAACAAGTTGTTTCTCTTAACAAGAGAAACATTTAAGAAGAAGTATTCTTGACCCCACCTTCATTCTTATATCATTGAGATAGTGGGTGACTTCAGAGGATTGTTGTGAGAATTAAAGGAGTTAACATAATATAAAGTGCTTAGAATGATCTAGTACCTGCTCAGTGATATATGCACCTTAAGAATTACTGTTGTGTTAATTATCACTGTTACATCTTCTTCACTGTTACCTCAGACTTTCCATGTTACATAGAATCAGAAGGCTGCCTGTCAAACCTAATATCAAGTACAGGAATTTTCTCCGAGATCCATTAAAGCTTCCCATGCTTGTAGTCCCCTCTAACATGGACCTTTCTACTTTCCCTTCAGTGAATTCAGAGACTTCTAAAGAGTATCTACTTTATTCTGAACTAAAATCTACCTTCCTATGATGTCTATCATTTATCTTCAGAATGTCTTCTTTTCCTTTTATCATTGCTTTTATAATAAGTAAGTATTGTTTGAAATTTCTCTGTACCATTTCTAGAAAGAAAGAGAGGGAAAAAGGTGACACTATTCTTGTCTTCAAGAAGCCTACCTTCTCTTTGAAGAAATCTCCATTAACTTTTGTTGCTCATTGTTAAGAGACAAAAATATATTTTTTAATATCACATGTCAAAGTAGAGAAAAATTAATGAAGACTAAATAGGTAAGGTTTCAGAGAGAAGATATATTAAAGGATAGGCACATTTATTTATACAGTTTTTGTTCATTTGTTAGTTCATTAAAATTATTTAAATTTTTATTAACAGTCCACACCAGATACCACATGTGTAACTAGGAGTTCACTTATAGAAGGGGCCCATGACTCTAGGTAAGATGGTAGGGCAGGGAGTCCACATGAAGGAAAGTTCAAACATGAAGACATAGAGCTGTTGGATGTGTGTCACAAATTTGCGCTAGAGAATTGGAGGTAGCTCAGAGTGGCTATTCACAGGTTTTCGAAAGAGAAATATGTGATGATGCCAGAATCACAGGAAGATCTCAGGGAGTTCTGTGGTCCTAACAAAAATTTGAGGCCAGTGGGTTGTTTGTGTTTTTATCATGGTGAGGGCACTGTTAGGCCAGATATTTCTGGAAGCAAAAGGCGAGACTATGCATTCGGTGGAAAGGGGAAAAAAGAGGGTGTCAAGATGCCTTAATGTCTCTGAGCACAGACTTTGGACTTGCACTCCCCTGTACCTCATATGGGCTCTGCTGCTTGTGACCTTGTTACTCAGGGAAAACTTTTTTTTTTTTTACCTCTCTGAGCTTTGATTTTCTTCTCTGTATTAATGGGATGTGAATAGCCCCTAGCTCATCCTTATTATGAGGATTAAATAATAATGCATATAAAACACTTAGCCTGAGACATAGTGGAAATATATTAAGTGAAATAAAAGGAAAATCAGGAGTGCATTCCAAATTAGTAATATGTTTATCCAACATAATGCCAGACCACTTTGCATTACTTGTAAGTCCTCATGAATTTGACCTGCTGAGTCCTTTTCAAAAAGGTTTTGTTGGTATCCTTAGCAATGTCTGGAAAATCTAAGCTATGAGCAGCATCACAGCTTCCTTGAATGATTATCCTGGGGCCCATTACCTTCACTCTGTCTGCAAATCAGGTTAGGCATCTGACCCACTCAGGAGAGATCTGGGACAGCTGCCAGCATTAGATGAATGCTTCTGATAGCATTTAATCAAATTTGGTGGAGATAGTAGGCTCTCAGAGTCAACTTGCTGAACTTGGCATGAATAGGACAAAAATAGGAGTGGATTTAAAGCATGGATCCTGACCAGAATATACTAGTAAATAGAGAGCTGGAAATATTGACACTATAACCTGAGGGGCCTATGACTGTAGGAATCACCTGCACATAAAGACATGGTCCCTCTGTGCTCCAGGCGACTAAGACTCAGACCTCACGGTCAGGGCCAGAAGCAACTACCACAGATCATTGGCTGCAGACCTCAAGGCTGCTTTCACTGGTGTTCTTGAATATGAATCTGGAATCCTGAAACTTGCTTTTTCCACCAGGCTCACATTCCTGCATCTTCGATCACATTACAAAAGTAGACCATACTCCCTTCTCCTTCTGTCCTTTCTGCTGTTCTAGTTTGTTTTTCTCTCTCTAATCTTGACTTTCCACTGCTCCCTTTTCTATCCAAACCTTTATGTTTTCCACTTTTTTCACTGAAACTAAGGTACAAGGTGAATATTCCCTTTGAACCCTAAGTCATTTCTTTCACTGTTTCCTTGGCCACTTTTCTTAGCCACACTGCTTGTTACATGTTATTTAGCAAACATTTGTTGAATAAAATAATGAGGCTATTATTTTCCTCCATTGCCCTCACAGGAACTGCTCCTTTTCCTCCACTCCTTTGTACAGAAGGATCAAAATGGGATGACTTCCCTCTTCACTTCCCATATACCTTCCAGATAATTTTTTCCTCTATCTTATCACTGGAAGTCCCAAAATGTCAACATTGGAAGACTTAGAGTAGCAGTCTGGTTACCAGGGAAAAGTGCCCAGGAGGCTCATTTTTAAGCTGTTGTTATTTGTGTGTCTTTTCTTTTCCAGATGTCTTTGGGAGAAGGAGGCACATGAACTCTGTTGTTGGGTCTTAGCATAAACCTAGCCAGCCTTCAATACTACCACTGACTACAAACTGCTGTATGGACAAGCTTACCTCTCACCCTGGGCAGACTTGGGATGACACCATGTTAGGAAAAAAGATTGCATACTAATCAATGACATGTCATAATGTTTTAGTAGCTCTTAACAGTTTTCTCTAACAGTTCAACCTGCAGCCATTACCATTTTTGTTTTTCTGGACTTCATCTCCTACCCCTCCTTGAACTCTTCTTCATATGCTCTTATGCCTCTTAGCTTCTCAGTTGAATGTCAGGGCTCTATAATTTAGCCTAACATCCTCCATCCACTGCCAGAATACCCCAGAAACAAATTTTCTGTTAAGGGGCTTCTGAACATATCATAGTGAATGAGACTTAGGAAGCCATCAATATAAAAGCAAGAGTTGCTAGAAAATACGGGAGTTTGGAGTTGTCAGTGGACAATCATGGACATGGCACAGTTTGAGATGGGTTTGGTAAGACTAACAGGATTTGGAGGAACAGAAATCAGGCATTCTCTGCAGGGAAACAGTGAAAAGTGTCTGTATCATAAAGCATGTGATGGTGCAGAGAGCTCCTGACATGGAGGAATGTAATGAAGTTATGTGAACTTTGACTGGAACATTCTGCCTTTTCCCATGTCTGTGTTTCAGTGTTCCTTGTTGGAGAATAAGCATAATGATTTACTAAAATCACCTACACATCATATTTTAAAGCAGTTTTTCCCAAAGTGCTTCTATGGAAAATTTATCCATGGAAGGCTTTGCAGAAAAATAATACTAATAACTTAATTAGCTTAATTAATATTAGCTTATTTTAAAAGGTCTAAATTAGTAATGTAATACAAAAACCTGACTTTCCTGGGAAAAGTAAACCTCCTGTATATGTGTTATACCATCACACTCTTTATCTTCCCTCAAGGCACTTTAGAGTCTGTAACTGTATTGTCTATTTTTCATATTTTATTGACTGCTGCCCCAATAGAATTTACTCCATGAGGACAGAGATCTTTACCATTACACATCAAGAACCTAGCACAATTCCTGAGAAAGTAATAGGTACTCAAAACAAGTATCAGTGATTAATAAAACCTGTTCACTGTTGTTTAATTTTGCATTGTCCAAACTAGACAGAGGGTGGGGCTGGAATTGGGACAGAGTGCTGCAGTTCTGATCTCTCTTTAACGATACATGAAATATATTGTTTTTCCTTGCTACCATCTAGGTTTCTAGATGTTACTGTTTTTCTCATTTTTCCTATTTATTACATTTTGAAACTCGAATGGTTGTCTGATATACCCAAATTTCTTTCTTTGTATCTTTCAGGCAACGGCTGCCACCTAAAAATGTTTACTACTATCGCTGCCCGGACCATAGGAAGAATTATGTGATGTCCTTTGCATTTTGTTTTGACCTAGAAGAAGATATTTACCAATTTGCTTACTGCTACCCATATACATACACTCGCTTCCAGCATTATCTTGACAGCCTGCAAAAGAGAAATATGGATTACTTCTTTCGGGAGCAGCTGGGTCAGAGCGTGGTAAGGCCCATTCAGAATCCGAATCCGGCAGCCTTGGGGGAGGAGCTTGGCGAAGGGTATTTATAGAATGCAATGTTGGTGTGTTTCCATTGGTGCTTTGTAGATTATGTGCTCTGACACTGGATTTCCTGCCTCCTTCTTTCATTGTTAAGGACTCTGATGATTCTGTTGAGCTCACTCAGCTAATACCAAGAGAATATCTCAAGATCTTTTAGTTAGTCACATCTGTAAAATTTCTTTGTCACATAAAGTAACATATTCACAAGGCTTAGAATTTGGACACATTGGAAGGACTGGAAGGACATGCCTTGTTCGCCTACCATATTTTACTTCACCCTCTTCCTCTTCCCTTTCACTGTTAAACCCAGGATCTGAAGCTGTGCTTAACAATAGATGCATAGGTTTTGTTCTCTGTGGTCAGCAATACTTTGGTTGCTAGTAAGGAACAAGCAGGTGATAATTTGATTTTATGTTTCATTTTTCAGTAAGTATGAATCATGCCCCTAAAATTGATCTGTCTTTAAAGGTCTTAAATGAGGATATTGATAGAATTTCCAGTATATTCTACACTTGGGCTTCTACTGGGTATTGGTAAGAAAATGTACTCTTCCTAGTGACTATGGGTCACACATAGTCCACCTGGCAGTGAGTCCCCCTTCTAAACAAAAGTTTTCAAGACTCAGCTGTCTGAAATGTAGAGTATGGCCCACAGACCCCCAAAAAAAGAGAGACATAAAGAGGGCCTGTATATGGGTTAGGCCAAATCTGGTCTTGAAAGCTAGTGGTCATGATGGTATTATGAGGTCCTGTATGCACTAAGGATTTGGTAATTTTCTTCCACTACTCCAACCTCTTCTTAATAGTAGCTTCAGTGGATACCATGTATAAATGGTGCCTAAATATTTCTAACTAAAAATTGGGACACATGGTGTATCAGTCAGCGTGCTAACAGTAGACAGATGGCAGCTTCTCATTAGGCTAATTTGAGGAGGACTTAATAAATGGACTATTTACAAGGTGTGGGCAGTGTACAGAGGAACCACAGGGTATAGGACAGTTCCCTGGGGATAATAATAGTGCAAAATGTATGAAAGGAAGAAATGTTTAACAGAATCCAATAGAAGAGGGCCAGGTAATGGCTCACCACAAGTAGAATATGACCTTCAGTTGAGGAACAAAGTTAGCCTGAGATGACTCCATGGGGGGAAGAGCTAAAAAAAAAAAAAAAAAAAGACACAGATTTCATTCTCATTCTTCTCTGTTTTCCTGCTAGGGGTTCCTGTTGACACAGACAATAATGAGGATGCAGGAGAGTCCTCTGTTGCAATCCATATAGATAAGCCTCTCTGGGCAAAGAAGAAAATAGAGAATTACAAAGAATGGCTATAGAGAGGCAAATAGAACATATTAAGCACATGTGCTCTGATCAACAATACAATACTGTAAACAGTGAGATTATTTCATATGGGACTGGCAGAGAAAGTCTGAAATGGTTGTTTTCCAGACATATAAACTGATATTGAATTAAGAAAGTGAGAATTTCATTCAATACCCATGATGTTTAAGGACAAAACTTGTACATTTCTTTTCTGTGTCCAACTGAGGCCCCTCTTAGATTTATGCCAGGCAGGATATAGGTGTACCTCGAATAACTATTGAATGAATAATTGAATAAATGAAAGAATAAATTAAGATCTGTCTAGAGCTAAGAGCATCAGAAAACTAATAGGAATAATAGGTTAAGTTATTAACTAATATCCAGAATACATCTTAAAAGAAAAACAACTTGACCGAGATAGTTTATTTCTCTTCCTTGATGTAGGTACTCCAGAGCTGATGATGTAATTGTGCTCCTTAAAGGCCTTAGAGAGTTGTGGTTCTTCGAGTTTTTCTGCTATCTCTGGGACATGGCCCTTAATCTTAAGATCCGGTGTGGAATTCTATCATCACAAGCATGTGCCAGCATATGAAGCATATGAAGGAACATGGGGGGAGAAGAAGATGTAGTTATGTGGCACTTTCACTTGTTATGCCATTTAATAAAACTCAGGTTCACATTTAACTTTAGGATGAGAAATACAGTCCATTCTGGGTGATCATGTTTCCAGTAAAAACTGGCAGTCCTATAAGATATAGAGCACAACCTAAAATCTCTGCCACAGGAAACCTGAGTTCTGCCTCCAGCTCTAATATCAAGTTACTTGTATGACTTTGAATGTTATTTCTCCTTGCTGGAGACAGGTTTTTAATGTAGAAAATGAGAAAAGGTGGACTTGATTAGTGATTTTAAAATTATTCTTTGAGGAATTCCTCAGGCAGAAGCTAAATAAGTTGAGACCCCCTATCCTACTTCAGAACCTATGAAAGGTGCAGTGGGAATACATAACAAAGTTATGCAAGTCTTAGTGTGTGCTTCTAGAAATTTATCCTGTACCAGAGGAAATAACATGTTCAAACAGTTCTAATGTCTTTAAAGTATACAATTAAGGGTTTCATGAGTTGTTTAAAGAGCTAATAATGGTCACGTTATATACCATAGAGATGGACTTTTAGCTGAATCATAAAAGATATGTAGGATTACTGAATACAGAGCTGGAGAGTAGGTAGTCCAAAGAATAAGAAATAGTCTGATCTGTTGTATGGCAGTAGTTGATTAGAAATCTAGTTTGATTAAAATCTAAAGGAAAATTGGAGTCAAACTATGAAAAGTCTTGATTGTCATATTAAGAAATTGTAGCTATACGGATTATTCAGATTCAAAACACAGATGCTGGCTCAGGCACTTTAGATATAGTATCATGCTTATTTTTCACAACATCTTTAGGAGTAGGCAGAATTTTCCCACTTGGGGGAATAAATAATCTAAAGCTAAAAGGATAAATACATAGTTAGTTTATATCAGGGCCAAAATTTAAACCTATGACTTCTAACACCATGTCTTTTTTTTTTTTTTAAAAGATTTATTTATTTATTTATTTATACAAGCATTGGGCACAGTCGGAAGCACGGGAGGGTGAGAGAATTTACTAGAGCCAGAGGGGAGAGCAGAGCAGGCAGAATGATGAGGTACACTGCTGAAGGGAGCAGCGGGCAGCAGGAGAGGTCTGCGCGCCATGTGGGACCCTTGCCCGGGGCCGGGGATCAAACCGGCGCTGCAGAAGCTGTGTGCGCAGCCTTGCAACCCAGCACTCAACCACTGCGCCACCAGGGAGGCCCCCTAACACCATGTCTTGATCCTATAATGAGCCTACTGATGCTTCTTCATTGGGTCTACTGAGATCTACCATAGGATTTTGAGAAAGAGGTTATTATATCCAAAGCAGCATCTTAAGAAAGTGAAGTTAATGGAAGTGCAGGGTATACCTATGCTGGCTAAACTAGGTTAGGGTTGCTCTGTGGTTTACTTCATTCCTCCTGTTCTGGACCTCAAAGCAGATACCAGAGACTTAAAGGCTTTCTGGCATCCTATAGCAAACAGGACAACTCTTGGTTACCAGGGCGTTTGATATGGTTCATTTCTGAAGGCACCACTATAATTAGTTAATCCTTATTCATTTGGAGGGAGGATAATTACAAGTGGGAAGGCTAAACATGCCAACATCTAGATCTTAAGGATAGCAGGCAAGAAGAAAGGTTTTGAATTTCTAGTGCTGAAATTATTAATCACCATAGGCATAACTGCCACTGCTACTAATTATATCATAGAAAATACATTTTATTTTGTTACTCACCAGTGGCCCCTCTTACCAGACCAAACAAAATCTCTTTATGCATTCAAAAAAGCCATGATCTGACATTTAAGATAAAAACATCATGGGAAAGATATTTTTCCTTGTTTCAGCAGCCTTATTGAGGTATAATTTAAGTACCATAAACTCTACCCATTATAAGGGTACAATTCTATGATTTTTAGTAAATTTATAGAGCTTCACAACTATTACCACAACCCATTTTTTTAGAACATGGCCATCAAATGAACAGTTCCCTTAGTAGGGAACACACAGCCCCGAGTAACTCTGATCTGCAATATGACACTATAAATTTGCCATTTCTGAACATTCCATATATGTCATGCCATCATCTCTTGCATCCAACATCTTTTACTTAGCATTGGATTTTGCAATTCATCTATGTTGTAGCATGTATCAGTAGTTCACTTATTTTAAGTGCTGAATAATATTCTATTGAAAAGAAAGACCACATTTTGTCCCTTCTCTGGTTGATGGACATTTGAATTTTTCCCAGTTTGGAAGAATTTAAGTAATGCTATTATGAACATTCATGTACATGTCATTGAATGGCCAAATGATCACATTCTATTGGGTAGATTTCTAGGAGTGGAATCATTTGCACTGTGTAGAAACTTTACATTCAATTTTAAAAAATCTATCAAACTGTGTTATAAATTAGTAGTGTCATTATACATACCTACCCATAATGGAGTGAGGAGGGTTATAGTTTCTTCATTCACTTGCTATCAGTTGCAATCTTCTGTATTTTTTAAGTATAGTCTTTTTTGTGAGTGTATAGCAGTATCTCATCATGGTTTTAATATGTGATGCCCTAATGAGTAATTATGTTGACTCTTTTATCATGTACCTATTTGTCATTCTTTTTTTTTTTCCTATGGTAATGTGTCGGTTTAAATTTTTCCACTTTTTTTTTGAGTTTATCCTGTCCTTCGTTTCAAAAAGAATTTATGAATTGTTAAATAAATACATAAAATTTAGCAAGAAAAGATAAAATTCATTAGATTATAAAAAGTATAATAGATAATTATACTTATACAAAGTATACAAAAAATTTTATACAAAAAATTTTATACAAATTATACAAAGTTAATAGATAATCCAAAGTGAAGTTAGGACATCATTGAAAGGTCACATCTTGGCCTAGTGTTTAGCATATAGTAGATATTCAAAATTTATTGATTGCTAAAAATAGCAAAAATTTATTGAGCATTTTTCATGTATTAGAGCCTGTCGATAAAGGCAAAAGTT